TTACAGGCTGAGAGGCAGGAAGAGCTGAACTTTGACTAAAGCGTGTCCACTTGACACCAGCCACTTCTCCTCACCTTCCTCAGCATTAATGATCCTGTCTGATATTGGTGTAGTCCAGAGAATCGGATGCTGAGAAGTACCCACCGCTGTGAGCGATACATCTACAGTGAAATAAAATACACTGCTCAGGGAGCTTCTTTTCCTCAAAGGCCGTATGACCCCAGGCCCTCAGTCCATATAATAAGCCTATCAGGCAGATACAGTCTGGACCAACATAGCCAGAGGATCAATATTGGCCTGTGATACACTTATGTGCAGCGCTACTGTCTGCCACCTTGTCTTTTACAAACTAGCAGTGGGGAGCGCTCAGGAGGAACATGGGGAGGAAGTTCACCAGTATGCAGCAATCGTGATTGTTTAAAATAGTCTTTTTCTTCATAATAGAGAGGAACAACGTGGCTCTAGTTACTGAAGTATCTAGAATGGAGTGATTGTTTCCATCCATTACAGTTTTATTTTCATCCTGATTATCCAGAGAGAGCGAATTACTTTTTAAAGAACAACTTAAAGAAAGAGTTTGACATTTTGGGAAAATGAATTTTAATTAAATGAGAATATTATTATGTCTGTCAACTGGATTATATGCGTCTATGGATTAAACAAATGAGATTCTGAGAGACTGTTTCCAGTCTTTATGCTAAGCTAAGCTAACTGCGTGCCGGTTCTAGCTGCATTCAAGCGTACGCACATGAAAAAAAATGATAAAATCAAAAATTAATCATTGATATCATGTTCATAATACATTGTGTAAATAATCCAGTGCCTCGTAAATCACACTTTTGTACAGTGATGTACAGTTTACAGACTTTCTCTCCATCTACGCTCTTATTTTTTAGGGAAATTCATTTGCCAAAAAGAGACAAAATGCAGAATGAACAAAGTTAAAGATGAATTTTATTTACAGCACTGTTATATTTTTGGGTCACACTTTCTATAGATCTCACGATAATATCGTGTTCAGGATTTTTAGTATAGTGACAGCAAGTTTTGAAATGTATGCAGAAGATAATGTTGTATGTCTGGTGGAAGAACCACTAAGACTAATATTATCCCTAAATAACTATATTAGAAATATATGGGACGCTTTCATACTTGAGCTGAGTTTCCCACGATGGGAATCCTTCTCTCATAAAATACTACAAGTCATTTTTATGTGTTTCTTAATCTTCTTAAATATGACTAATACTATCTCAATAATTGCTATCCTGCTATCTTATCTGAGTAAGAGATATAAAAATCTGAGAAAAGAAAGTTTATACTATTTTTGTGTGGATCTGATTGCTGATGTCAGTGAGACATACAGTGGGTCCTGAAGGCTACAGTCAGATGTTTGCCCCCTTCAACAGGCATCCAACCTGCCTACCACAATGAAACCGTGACCGTCTCAGAGCAGGTGTGTCACAGGGGCCAAATGTCTCCCGTGAAGCCTGATTGGCTCCGGTACAGCCTTCCATCTGTTAGTCGAGATTCCTCTAGTTGTATTTTGACAGACTTTTGAAATTGTTTGGCTGCTTTACATCCGGCATTTTCACATGTTCTGTGATTTATCCAACAGGTCATAATTTCGGTACATTGCGCACAGCTCACGATAAACGATCATTGCAACACATGGAAGTTACACTATGTGGTCAAAGTCATTGTTCCACCGTGCATGTGCCATTTATATATATATATATATAAATAAATAAATATACAGCATTCAAACATTCAGAATGGCAACTGTTGGCTCTGCAGGGGAAATAAACAGCTGGGAACAAGGTGATGTACTTTATGCAGATTGTCTTGGACAGTTGTTGTTCATGGAGAAATTATGAATTCATATGTCAACCCCCATCTAGTCACACGAGCGAATCCACAAACCCTTTCACTTCACCAACTGCAGAAAGGATATCTGACACCATTTGTTTATTAATATTATTTGAATACATAATGTTCCCCATATTACTGGGGTGAAGTTGACTCTTTATGAAACAAACAGCAGTGTTCCTGCTCCCAGTCTGTTCCTGTTTTCCATAGAGTTCTATTTGTTGACTCCTTATAGGCTCTGATATAACACACTGGACTACTCAATGTTCATAAAGGAAATTATTTTTTCAATATAGTAAAAGCCATGCTCTTTTGTTCAGACTTAGATTAGACTAGATCAGTTCAATTGACTCATTGGCCACTGCTGTAGTCTGCTGATAGTTGCACTATGAAACTCACTGGAACCACCCCAGTGACCCCCAGTGGTCACTTAACCGATCACTTTTCAAACATCTATAGGGCCGAGATATTGCTCAGTTCTTTAAGCAAATCTGTGAATACAAAATTTGTCCAGTGGTGTGTCTCCATTTACCTAAAATCCTCCTGAAGATACAGCAAAAACATCTGGGATGTAAAGATATTTTTAAACAATTACTGTAAATGAAATATGTCATTTGCACTGCATTGATTCATTTTTTTCGCGTGCTACTTTGCATGTAGACCTGAAGCACTATAATAATTGTAATCGATTGCATGACTTTCTTTGTATCGTCAAACATTAAACTGGCTGGTGTAATCCCTATCTGTACATGTTCAAAGATCTGAGTGGGCAGCACAGACTATTTGGCCGTTAATCGATTCTTTTGTTCACCTCAATCCTCATCAGCATGAGGCTGAGCCTCCATTATTGACCACGAAAAGAAGGAGGGATGGAGAAATGGACAGACAGAGCACGAAGAGAGATAGTTAGGGATGGAGAGAGATAACGAGGAGGGCAAAGTACCCTGTAGGATTAGCAAAAAGGGTGGATAATAGGGAGCAAGTGTGACTGCAGATACAGTGGCCTATCAAGTGTGAGTGAAAAGGGGGTGGAGGGGGGGGGACTGGGGAATGAGCGAATCATACGCTGTAACTTATCCTCCCAGTTCACCAGAGACCAAAGACACTTTGGTTTATGGAGGCAGGGAGGCCAGACTCCAGGTAGCCGCTGGGAAATAAGAGGGCATTTGTTCACGCCTGAGAGGGTCTTCCCTCTACATAACTGGCCACACTGGCCACCAGACCTGTACACTGGTCCCAGCTTGGTGCTTTGTCAATGTGCTGTGACTAATCCAGGAGGGGTCCCGCATTTTCTCTCACCCTAATTAAAAGAGGATTAGATGGGATGGAGCTCTGGGCCACTCCAACATGCACGAACCACCATCACTTCACTTTCCCAGGATAATCACACTTGCTGGAATTGCTGGATTTTCTGTGCAGGCCACCACCTGAACTCTGCCTCTGAAATAGTAGCTGAGACTAAATGAGGCTTACCGATATGGATTGGTCCACAAAAAAGGGCACTGAAGCAATTCCCAAATACACACTGCAAATCTGCTTTATTGCATAGCTTGTGATTATGAGATTTAATGCTGATGGTCATAATATCTGCATATGCTGTGAGGATATATAAAGGGCTTTTAATTACAGTGAGCCGCTTATTTTATTTTTGAAAATACGCTGTTCTTTAAAAATGTGCACCAGTCTACTATTTCATTGTAATTTAGGGCAACTCTTCGCAGTTAATTTTAATTGAACAGCAACGTCAGCTCCATTAGAAAATAGTGTAAACTTAAGGAATCAATACAAAGTGAACTGAAGAACCACATCACTTGAGGATTAACTGAATAAACAGACTAATCAACCTGCAGGCATGACTCCAGCATCATGTTACAAAAGGCCTGGCTTGTGTTTTTCATGGGCAGTTTTTGCCCAGCACACAGACCTATAGGCAGCTCAAGCGGGACCAGTCCTCAGGCAGTCACATAAGGACTATACTGACACCAGTGGTCACTATAGCTGGATTTCCATCCAAATAATCCTTACTGACCTCATTCTCAACTATGTGTTCATTTACGATGAGTCGAAAGAAACTCAAAAGGAAAAAGCTAATATTCTTAAAGGTTTTTCAAACTAATTGTGGTGTTGTGTTTTTCATAAACACGGAAATTACACAATAACGAAGATAAATGGGATAGTAATGGAAATTTAGGTTTGAAATTGATAATGACAACAACACACATATACCACCAGGAAAGGTCATGCCCATTGTCACTCCCATGACTATATGCTCATTGTGTTGCTCTTAAGGTTATTTGTTTTATGTCAAAGTGTGTGTTTGCTTTTGTTATCCACCGACAACATACTATGTAAGCAGTCATCTTCATTTTTCTTCTTCCCCATTTGTTATGTAGCCACTATAGATGTTTTTATTCACTTATCCCCTTATATTGTTGATCTGGTGACATTTGTATTTATTTCTCAAACTTGCTCTGCAGCTCTATAGAAACAGGCATGGCTAACGGTTGCAGGCACCCTGTGCCCGTAGACATGTCTGATTTGCATTGCAATAGGTTTGCACTTATGGACAGCATTTCACACGATTAATCTTCGTATAACTGGAGTGACAATAACCATCTTCATTGTTGAATCCTACCACTGACAGTTAGTTTGGAAAGGTTATTATTGTGAGCTGCTTTCAGCTGTTAAGTCATTCTGCACAGTGCTATCTCATATTAGCCAGTTTAAAGTGCTGGTGCATTTAGATCCCAGCTGCCACAGAGAATACGCCCTGATGGTATGTGGGTGGACCTCTGAGGCCCAGACCTCATCCCAGAACATTGTGTTCGTGCCTGATATTTGGACATCATCTATTTCCAGCTCAAACTAAACTGTAAACTTAACTGTTGCTTTTTGATTGGTGAATCAAGATGTTTTGGAAATGTAGCCTACACAGAAGAAAAGTAACAGTACCAGGATGGTTTAATTAAGACTGCATTTGATGTAAGACTTAGTACGACTTTACTGCTTCTGCAGCAAAGACGGACCATTCAAATGAATTGTGTGTATGAATTTGGTCTACTCTGTTGAAGGCTGAACCGCCTGCAGAACGTGCCTCCCTTTCTGCGTCACTGCACCTACAAGTCACCCATAAGGGAAAAAAACCCACACAAGAGGGCACCAACCCCCCTCAGCAGCAGCTCACAGGGACACGGCCACTCCGTGTAAACACAGGGCTGCAACCGCTCGCCTGCACCGTTACATATTATATCTGTCGTATGTTATGGATACCGACAACGAAGAAGTTGCAATGAAAGACTCCAGAAGACGAGAACGTCAATCGGGTAACGCTCGCTTAACGTTACTTCTCAAATGTGCTATTTCGGGCAGCTTGGCCACAGAGGCCATCGCAGCTAGCGTTAACGGCTGTGCAGCCATCGTCTTTGTTCTTTAGGAATGATGTTATTCCGTGAAGATAGCTGGGTTAAACCCTTGACACCCACTGTAGCTTGTGCAGCTAGCCTAGTTAGCTTAATCAACCTAAATGACTCTTCGTCACAGGGTGGGTTCAGCTGGTGAAGCCTCGCGCTAATCACTATTGATTATGTCAGTGACGTAACGTCAGGGATCAGCACCCAGGCCGCTCATTGACATGTATTGTTCTCACACCATGTATCCGTTATTCAGCCGTGCCTCACTACTGCAACGTTACTGTGAGCCGTGCAATGGCGTTCTGACTTATCACTTTGTCTGTAGGTCACATCACTTTACATGACGTTCAAGGTAGGGATCTCGTTCATCGCATGTCCGTATCTCACTTTGACTGATCTAGTGGAATGCTGCAGACAGGGTGGTGTGTGTGCGCACGCGCGCATAGCTGATGAGACGAACCATAACACATTTACAATAAGCGGGTGTTTAGAGATGGATGAAAGCTGCTCTGAGGCATGATTGGATTAGAAGTGTGTGCTTTTGGTAAGAGCTCACATCTGAATGAACTTGCTTCTCTTTAACAGCTGTTTGCACATGCATCAGATTGGGTGTATATTAAGATATTCCCATGCATGCGTTTGTCTTCTTTCCCCCTCAGCTTTGGAGAATTCAGACTATGACATCGGCTTGTGTGGCTGGCTGTTGGTGGCGCTCTCCATTCTCCTCATGCTGGTCACTCTGCCCATCTCCGTATGGATGTGCCTTAAGGTCAGCTGCTGGTCAACTCCAGTTCATTTTCCACTTTACAAGCAAAGCTAGCTGGTATTATATCTGTTTTTATTACATTTAAATTGTATATTATGTGTATTTATTTAGGTCATCAGAGCTGGTGAATCATTGTTTAGCATTTACTTTACTAAAAGTATCCCCAGTGTGATTTGTGCTTTTTATTAAAATGAGTACCTATCAGCATCTCTCAATCACTAACTACATGTAGAATGTCAAATAAGAGAAGGAACAGACTGTATACAAGCCTGTGGTTTGTCTCTGTACACAGATTGTGAAGGAGTACGAGCGAGCCATTATCTTTCGCCTGGGGCGCATTTTGCGAGGAGGAGCCAAAGGTCCAGGTCAGTCCTTTTTTTAAATTATTTTATACACACCAGCAAATCAAATATTGTGATATTTTTGACCAAATACCTCTGTCAATACTGTGATGATAGTGAAGGGTTGGCACATATTTACACAATAAGATTTTGAATCATCAGTAACATGGATATAATGACCAAGTGGGTGCATTCAAATAATAGAACAGTCCAGTAAGGTCAGAATCATAATAAGGCCTTAAAAACCAAAGACAACACTAAGGCAATATCTCCTCTGATATCACGATATCGATATAATATTGACGTATTGCCCTGTCCTACTTCAAACATGGTTCACGTGTCTGTGTGTCCCCTCTGGATTATGTTACACTAAGATGCTTTTTTTTTAGCGCTGATGGCAGACTAACTAAGATCTAAAGCAGGCAGCAGAAACCACAATAAATAATATGACGGAGCCCAGATATGATGCCAGAGCTGTAGACAGTGTGGAGTTCCTGTTTCTTTATGGGGTACAGTGCATCAGTCACTCAGGGTCCACAGCAAGCTGATGTCACAGAACCTAAGTGAGCAAATGATCACATGATCAAATATTCTGCTCATCTTCTTGGTCCTTTTTCTACAGTCCATTCACGTAGGCCCTGTTCAGACCACCTCCTGCTCAACCGACGTGTGTCACGGTGAATGTGATCCACAGCACCTTGTGTAGCTGAGGTTTACGTTGTGCCTATAGCCCACTTCATGGTAGTCTAGACTCGAGCTCATCCCTGGTGCTCTGAAGCTCTTGTGCGCTGCCGTTGCTTAACAAAAGTGCTGTGTCGGTGGAACGGAGGTCCTCGGGGACCATCGGAAGACAATAATTCTATTATATCTATCCAAATACGTAAACTTCTGTTCTTTGACAGCAAGTTTCGGGGCTTTTTCCTCAGGAAGAACATGTTCACTTCAGCCTGATGGATGCTGTGTTTTTAAGGCTGATACCGATAACCAATATTTAGCATTATCCGATATTTGTCATCGTCTGTGACTCTTGATTGTCAACAGCCCTAAAATCTCATAGTGTAACCTTTAAAGCCCAAATTATAGTGGTTGGTGCCTGCAAGTAATCCCTAAATGTTACATCATGTAAACAAAAGTTTCATACATAATGTTTCACATATCAATGCTCATCAGATATTGTTAGTATACAATCCAAATTCTGTTACTTTGGTATTTTCAATATGCAGTTCTATTTCATGAAAGACATGTTTGCTTTATGAAAGAGTAAAACAAGACTTAAGAGTCTCCCACCATGCGAGCAGCTCTGTGATGCTGTACTATAATGCACTGCAAGTTCTAACATCAGCACGTAAAGCAGTTGTGACCATGTACACATTCTTAGTGTGACACTTAACTCTAAGAACAGCTGAGACTAATGAAAATGTTGTCAGTTCTGCAGGTGTTTGAGCTTTAATCGAGTTATTGGGCAAATAAAAACCTAATGACGGAGCAAGAGGAACAGTTGGGGAATCACCAGAATCTTTACAATTCAACCAGAGGGAGACATGAATGTCTGCACTACACGTCATCCATTCAGTAGCAGTTGAGACATTTCACTCAGAACCACAAATGTCAAGCTGCTGGTGGACATTTCCATCCAGAGAGCCAGGCGGCGAAAAAGCCTGAAAGACTCTGAGCATGGGAAGAATCACACTCGAGAGGGTGGGGGGGTTACAAAACACAAGTCAAATACAGATTACAATTACAAATTAAAAACGGAGAAATATGAAGGCCTAATAATAACAACAAGCAGAAGCTCCACCTCAAAGTTCTCCACAAGTTTAGAAGGGCTCCCGGTCCACAGAGCCTCATTTCTGCTGCTGCATACGTTTCTGTTCAAGGTCTGAGTGATTTCATCTATTCTCAGCGACGTGACTTCTGTTGTGAGAGGCGCTGGATTTGTTTAAGTAAAACAAAAAATAAATAAAAAATACAGACTCCCACGAGGAATAATTTGCATGCATCTCATAACTGGCTGTTTTTTCATCTTTGATTTCTTGTTTTACGGGATCTAAAAAACCCAGGCAAGTGTCCTCTCAAAATGCTGAAATGTGACTCCTCGGAGTGCCAGGGGACCCCTGTTTATGACAGTGTGGAGTAATTATAGCTCTCCGCCAGCAAACTTCATGTTCCTGAGGAGCTGGAGGAACCGATGCCGGAGCTGAAATCAGCATTTAGTTCCCCGTAATGCCCCTCGCCCTCCCGCTCATAATCTGGCTCCCTCTCTCCCATCTACAACGCCTCTTATACAATTGTGACTTGGAGCGCTTCCCTGAATATTTACTGCAGTTTAAAGCAGGCTTGCTGGGATAGTTTGTCATGAAATGAAAAGGCTGTGTTTGTGGAACATTTTGCATCTGTATATCCACTTCCCCTCTGCCATAAACAGAGGTGTTTATTCGAAACGGGGGGTTTTTCCAGGATGCTTATTTGTGGAATTTTCCACTGCACCACAAGGTGGTTTACAGGAGTCTCTCGTGTGAGGGCAACCGAGGTCTCTCCTCTCGTCTGACGGGAACCGTGATCGTCGAGAATGCTGGAAACGCCACGAGGAGACTGCCGTTGTCTTCCTCTCCCGCTCCTGAACAGATGGCTGTGATCTCACCATTTAAAAACACAATATCCTGACGGGAAGCGCCCCTCCCGCTAGTATTTTTTACCGGTGTGGCGTTAATGTTTGCTAAATGATCGCACACCTAGCACATGTCTGTTCCACTCAGGCACATGCCACGTGTTGTCTAATGCACTAATTCAATCATTTGCGACTTGAAAACCCGGCTCATGAAAGCTGCGAGTATCTGCAGCTTTGCCTCGCTGTCAGCACAGCTGCAGTCTTACAAAGAGAAGCTCGACGTGGCCTCCTGCCAGAATTCCATTCATCCCGGTGTTTTCAAACATTTGTGAAGACGCTTCCTCATTATTGTGTTTACCGGGGCTTTAGTCTTTGTTAAAAACTGTTTGCGTTCTCGTGATTCCGCAGGGCTGTTCTTCATCTTGCCGTGCACTGACAGCTTCATCAATGTGGACATGCGCACCATCACCTTCGACATCCCCCCCCAGGAGGTATGACTCGCACACTTCCAATTACATGAAACACACACTTTGTCACACTCGCAGACACTCAAAGGACATCAAATTCATTGTGATCACAAAACAATTTCTCCCTTTTTATTGCCTAACGTGCGTGTTGAATCCCCGCCCCGCTCTCAGGTTCTGACCAAAGACTCTGTGACGGTGAGTGTGGACGGCGTGGTGTACTACCGGGTCCAGAATGCCACTCTGGCTGTGGCTAACATCACTAATGCGGATGCCGCTACCCGGCTGTTGGCCCAGACCACCCTGAGGAACGTCCTGGGCACTAAGAACCTGGCGGAGATCCTGTCCGACCGGGAAGAAATCGCACACAGCATGCAGGTAGAGTCCAGTAGCTGTTAGCGTTGTGATCCAACACAACACGCTAGTGCTCACATGCTGCCATAGCTGTGGGGAGGAAGACATGTGTGTGAGTTGGGGAGTATGTTGAGCATTAACCTCAGAGCCAAACACTTACGAATTTATTTTCACTCGATTTAATTAGTTCAAACTTGACTTTTTGAAAAACGTGACGGATCAAATATGTATATTTGTTGGTAGTTTTGGTAATTAAACCTTTTAAATACTGTATGCTGGTAAAAGTAGTTTATCTAATCTGCCATATAAGGCGTTTTCTCCTTTTTGGTCAGCTCTTGTGTGACCCTTAGACATTTGGCTTCACCCGCGTTGTCCACATTCAGCCTCCTCTCTTATGTTGCTTGCTGCTTTTCCTCCAGTCGACACTTCTTAGGACACTCTCTGTGAGCTGTGTTCATGTCAACATCGGAATGCAGAAAAAGAAAATAAATCATTATGATGGGAAAGCTGCACTGATGATGCACCCTGAAGCATCATGCAGAAAACGTGTTCATATAAACATGGAGACAATAGATGTAGGCGACACTATGAGCCTCCTGACTGGCTGGTGGAGAAAACAGAATGCAGGATTACGGTGGCACCCTGCCTTGGAGCCAGTTTGCCTGAACTCGGTGTCAGTTAAACTAACAAACTGCAGTTAAAGTGTGTATCCGCTGTAAACCAGGAAAACCTGAGGTAATCCTGTGCTCCGTGTAGAGCACAGCTGTTAGTTTGCCTTCTGACTTCAATTATTTATTGATTCATGAAACTTTTACTTCCAGTTTATGTCGAGCTTCTGTCACTGATTTAATATTTATTCCTGATGCACGCACAGTCGGACGGTTTGTCAGCAATCAGTCGGTAGTTCATTTACATTACAATACAAATCATTTAAAATACTGACGGTTTTAGTTTTGCTGAAATACTGCCAGTGTTTTCAGCCCATGTACATAGTTTACAAAGTGCTCTAATGTGACTCTAAACGGCATAACTGTGTGAGACACTGATAAGGTCACAGTTATAAATGACACAGGCAGGAATGTACAGTCTGCAGCTTACAGCAGGACAATATAAACACTCTGCAGTCTGAGGTTTACTCTCATCACTCTCTTATTCCCTTCCTTCCTTCCTTCCTTCCTTCCTCCGTCAACATCCTTTTTGGCCTCTTCTCCTCTGCCATGATGTCCGTACTGAGAATATGGAGCTAGCTTCTTCTTCTAGTCTCTTAGACTTCTCCCGGGACATTGTACCAGCTCACCATTCTCCCTGTATTAAGTTGATTATGTGTCAAATGGGGGGTTCTCCAAACCAGCACTCCCAGTTTACCGTCCCCGCTGAAGACCGGTTCTCCTCTTCCTCCTCCTCCTCCTATAGTATACTGTGCTGGGGGTTTGCTGCCATCGTCTGGCACAGGATTGTATTAATAAACCATTTAGACGCCAACATCTGTTTGAAGATGTAATCACACAGATGAAGTCTCTGGTTCAGTGTTCAGACGACTATGAGCGTGTAATGTAGTGATGATTGCTTAAATCGAAGAAGCTGTGAACTAAGAGTGAATCTGCTGCTGCTGCTTTAAGAGCCTTGAATCACTGTTCACGAAATAACATTTAAACACAGTGGTCTTTATAGAGCGGTAGCTTTAGACCTTATAATAATGTTTTCATAGTAGGAGTCTTTGTCTGATTTTTGTTTAAATACAACAAGAACGAAGCTCCTTTCTCCAGCAGCTCCACTGTACAGACACTGGACTGTCTTTATGCTTTCAAGGCTCCCAATATACAGGTGCTCATCTGCATGAAATACTTGATGCATAAAAGGGAAAATAAGTAAACAGTAGTTGCAACAGTTTTGCATGTGTCGTTTTAGCTGTGCGCTAATTTCTGTCTGCAGGAGAGAAACATGCGCTCAGGTGGAGCTCCATCTGCTGGACAAATTGAAAAGAGCCCGATGGTTGGCTTTGAAAGAGGAGAGAGTTTTGGGCGGATCTTGGTCTTTGATCTTTAACTTTTTTTTTTTTTCCTCTAATCGCACAAGAAAGTGTTGACATGTAGCCAGTGTTTGTCAAATGCTGACAAAATGAGCTATTCTGACAGACGCTCCGGTAACTTAAGCAAACACGTTGAACGCTCTGTCTCCTCAGTCCACTCTGGATGACGCCACAGACGACTGGGGGATCAAGGTGGAGCGGGTGGAGATCAAAGACGTCAAGCTGCCCCTCCAGCTCCAGAGAGCCATGGCGGCTGAGGCTGAGGCCAGCCGTGAGGCCAGAGCCAAGGTAAGGTGGTTCTGTTCAAACCGGTTTCTATATTCACTCCAGTATTCATTCATCATTTGTAAATATCTGTATTGATTTCGTGCATGCAGGCATCCCTCACCCTCTGTGTTGTTTTTCCCTCTCAAAGGTGATCGCAGCGGAGGGAGAGATGAACGCGTCGCGGGCACTGAAGGAGGCCTCCCTGGTGATTGCAGAGTCTCCGTCAGCCCTGCAGCTGCGCTACCTTCAGACCCTCAGCACCATCGCCGCCGAGAAGAACTCCACCATCATCTTCCCGCTGCCCCTGGAGATGATGCAGGGCTTCATGAAACGCTGAGGAGGGAGTCTCGAAACACTACTGTTCACATTAGCGATGTCAGTTTCGGTTCATTTTGCTTTCGATAGGCCGAGTAACTAACCGGTTCATTTTTAAGAAAAACAAACCCGACATGAATTACTAAAGGTGCTGTCCTTTTACTCCGACGCTCTGTTGACTCAAAGAGCTTTGTCGCCGCATTTCAAAGCGCTACATCCGATTTTAATGTTTTGTATTGTAAATGCCTTTTATTCCATCTGCTGTTGGCTTTGCAGACGTTTATTATTATTCAGGACACAGATGCTCCGATTGATCATTATCAGCTGATATTCATTCTATACAGTTTGATCGGTGGCCTCTATAAAAGCTAACCGTTCACATGCACACACACAACATGCATCACTTACACACACATATTTAGGCCTCTGTGTCTATTAATTAAGCATGTCTCTTTGAACCAGCAGTGCTAAGATGAAGTTGTGTTTGTGGTTCCTGATGCACCAAGACCGTTTGGCAAATAACAACCAAATGTTAGTTGCCACAACAGCTCACCCTTCAAAGACCACAGCTGACAGCCGGGCGGCGTGAGAGGAAGTAACTCTACACCAGGAGGGAGCAGCAGTCTGCCCATTGAAAGGTTTTGTTTTTTTACTGAATTTTAGGATAAAACTCATTCTAACCTCGGCACCAAACACGGGCATGCTGGCATGAAGATCTGCTGTTGCTCTTCTAGAGGCACCGGATGGATCCACGCAAAAGCTGCAGTGGCGTAATCCAGGTGGATTGCCTTTTGTTTGCTGTATCACAATACTAACCTACAGGAGAGGTTGACACTTATCTTAAAGCTCAGAGAGTAGGGTTTGGACAAAGTGACATGCAAATAATAACACAGAAACACACACACACACACACACACACACACTACACTTTTTCTCCAGTTGCCAATACTTTTGTAGCAGATTACATAAAATTTGGCAGTCAGGCTGGATATTACATATGTTTACAGTATGCTTTCTATTCATACGTAGTATACAATATATTTAGAAGGGTGGACGAAATGTTAGGAACGCATCAGATAACCGTAGAGTTGTCTATGGCTAAAGTGAACACGTATCAGCTGTACAGGTGGTACTGTGTGTTTTGTAGGTTCCTATTATTTCGTCCACCAGACGGTTTCACTGCTTAGGAGAAGCCGTTCTCCAACCGTTCTGCCTAAAGCCTTAACTTACTGCCATCGATTCATTTTACAGCCTAATATCACGTTTCTATGCACTACGAAATTAACAGTAAGCTACAGTATTTTATCACACGAGCTCTTTCTAGGTGCAAACAAGCCAAATAGTTCAACCTCTTTGTATTCATCTCATTTAAAACTGACATGTAGTTGTTCCATTTGTCCTCCTTTTGACATAGAAAGGACAAAGTGTAAATGTACGTTTAGAGTATTTTAGTGTCTGTGTGACTCAGTAGTGTTAATATGTACGTGTATCTATACAGAATAAGTAGAACTGCAGTCATGAGAAGTTTGCTATAGTTTTGCTGTGACTAGACCGGGTTTCAGGTTTAAAGTAGGCGCTGTAGATTTATTCTTTTTTGTAAAATACAAAGGCTGTTACATCATTATCATCATTATCAACTCCTGTTTATTTGAGAAGCCACCACAGAGCGAGAGAGTAGTATTATTGCGACAGCTTGATAGCAGAGAATCTGGAGTAAAGATGGTGACATACATACGACCACATCGTGCTGCTGATCACCGAGCAGCCACTCGGTAGTGTTGCATCATTCTCGTGTCTTTTAGCTCTTATGATTTGGCTTTCACTTTCAGAAGAAACCCTGCTCATTGTAGTATGTTATGTTAATGTTCAACACATCACTTATTTTTTTAAGTTTTATTCAGAATTTATGGTTGTGTTTCTGTAGCTAACACTATTTATTTTGTACAGTTTGCTAATGTTTGATATAGTTTTACCCTGACACAATACGAATATACAAAGACTTTAAATAAAGACACGATCAAAAAACATTTTCTGTTTCTGGATTTTATTCTTTTCAGATCAGTGTACGTGTTTGTACAAGCAGAGCCATCAAACACTTAACACATTTTGCTGAAACTATAACAAGGGAAACCTTTAGAAAGGGTCACAGAAGACGCATCTGATTGTAAAGCAGCAAAGCGTTGGTTTCCCATTTAAAGTTGGCTACTGTAGCATCACACAAGCTTTCCTGGACATGAATCCAGTTATATCTAAAAAATAATAATAAATATCGTAAGAGGCATCTTAACTGAAAGTGCAAACAACTTCTCTATAAAGGCGTCCTTAAACTGGAACAGTACCCTTTTAAAAAAAAAAAAAAAAAAAAGCAGGTTTTCTGTGAACTAGAGGAAGAAATATTTAAGGCATCGGTTGCATTTTCTTGGCAGGTGTCTTTTGTGATGTTGCAGCACACCAAGACTTTGTTTTTATTACATTTCACTAGTGGATAGGTTCTGTTATCAATATATAAAACAAATGTGAAAAAGTTGGCTTTAATAAAAGAAGCATACTGTGTTTAGTGCAAAACCTACAGGAAGCCTGAGTATCTGTTAAAGCTCTATTGCTATTGGTTGAGACAAAGTGAATTAAATCATCGACCAGCATCCGGCTCAAAAACAACTAAAAGTTAAGTTTTCTGGGTGCATTGGTGGCTAAAAGAAGTCATGATTGGAGCTCAGTGCTTGCGGCGGAGCGGGGGGCTGGTGTCAAAGGTCAGGGCTGATGGGTTTGGTGAGATCTCACAGGGCCAGTTCGGCCATGGCACGCTCCAGGGGGTCGCTGGTCCAGTACTCGTGGTCCCAGCCCAGGAACCAGCCGGTGAAGGTGGGCGGCTCGAAGCTCTGCTTGATCTTGACGATGGGCGTCCTGCGGTCCCTGTTGGCCGGATCCGTCTCGATGTAACGGACAGCTGAGCAAGATGAGGAAAAGCCAGAATTAGCGCTTGAATCACAAACGCACGCCAGAATAATGTGTGTTTGCTAAACGAGCAGAATCAAAATAGGATTGTATCAAAAATGTTCTTACCGGATGCCATTGCCTCAGTCTTCTCCTCCTCTTGGGCCTCGTTTCCGATCCAGAGGAACACCTAAAAATGGGAGAGTTTTATATATATTTGTTCCTTTCATTGCGGTGACTCTGCTCTGCATTTGTATGGCGCATCTAACAGCTATTTACCTGGTCCCAGGAGTCCAAGATCATGACATCATCAGTGGCGAGGTCCTCCTGAGTCATCTCCCCGGGTACCTCCTCAATCTGAGAGGAGAAGGATTCAGTGGAGCTGTATATTATTTCTCCTTTAAAAAGGCATGCAGCAGCACTCACAGCTCAAACCAAAGACTTACGATGAAGTTTCCAGTCTTATTGGAGCAGGCGAAGAGTCGGGGTGGGTGGGCGTCCATCTTGTCCTTGAGTCTGGTAGAAGTGCGATATTCCGTCTTTCCTCCCAGAGCCTCCCAGAACTGATCTGTAAAGAGGACAGACATACTTCAAGTTATTATAGTTTTTATATTAACTAGGGATGGGCAGATCGATAATCGCAAGCCCTGTGTCACATGACTGTAGAAACCATGTGACATCAGAAACTTGCAGGAAGTCACACACATTCACAGCAGACGTGACAGAGAGGCAAAAAGGAAACGTCTGTGTGGCTGCTCTTCACCAGATAAGAAATACAGCAAGATGCACTATTTGTGACAAGAAAGTGACACACAGCAGCAACAAAAGTAACTTCTTCAAACTTTAAAAATATAATATATATTTTTAAAATATGTATTGTTTATTTATTCATAACTTTATATAATTTCTGTAAAATATGTTTTACATATATTAGCACAGTAATGTGCCCTATGTGTCATGTGATTTGTTTTTAAGGGCTTAATTGTGCTGCTTTTTTTTTCCTCTTTTCTAAAAATGACCATTATTTTGAAAAATGAAATACCCATTTAACAAATGACTAAAGGGACAGAAGAACTAACTGAAACTGACAAAGTGCCACCTTGTTAAGTTGTTACAGCTAACTCACTAGCATACGGTTGCCCATTTACACGGCAGCAACGCAGCAGCATTTATTTGGAGTCACGTCTGATGAATACACTCTAATGCTAATATAATACTGTATTCACTCTTCTGTTAGCTCTGGTTTAAACCCCTGAGAAAACTGTCTCTTTAGCCGCTAAATGCTGGACTCTATGTTCACTAGCTGGTAGCTAACTGTGTGTGTGTGCTGTTTGGGGCCGGGCTGGTCGTGTACTAAAAACCCCTGTGACCTAAAAGATGCTGAAGTCTCTTTGTCACTACGAGCAACTCCTTTCACACTACATCATGTGATCCATTGTTGATGTATTACATATTGATAAGTGCAGCTTTAAAGATGTACAAAGAAAGTTATTATTATGAAATTTGATTTCTGATGTTTAAAAGTGCCAATAATAATCATTATAATACACACTTTGCCTGTGACAAATCCAACATTTTTTGTTTATATTGCGTGGATTTTAAATAGGAAGGTCGATACACGACCAGCAAAAGCTCGCAGAAATAAAATGTTGAAGTTCTGTTCTGTTCGGTCCCAGTTAAAAAAATGTACTCTGTTGTGTTTTAGCCTCAGGTCTTCTGTTTCAAATTGTGAGCAGAGAATCCAGTTTCTTCTTGAGCTGATAACATCTAAAGGAGTGATGCAACCAAGCCTCCTTTGTTTTAATATAGATGAACACAAGCACCTACTTTAGCTGAGATACAAAAAGAAAACTATCCAGCTGCACACTAAAGCGCTATTTTAACAGCTCGAGTGCAGTTTGTAACTGACACAAGAGTATATTAACTGGTAGTGGGTTTCAAAAGGAGAGAACTTGTTATTCTGTGTTCATCGCTCTTCCTCACCAGTCTCTCCTCCCTCAGACAGCTCAGAGGTCGACACTCCCAGGATGTCACACAGCTGCTGGGCTCCCTGCTTCTCGGTGTCACTGGCACCCACGCCCACCCACAGGAAGGAGCCTCCGGCAGTCGCCAGAATAAAAGCGTCGTTGGAGTTCAGGTTGGATGACACTGCGTCAAGCTGCAGGGAATGTGGAGATATCTTTGGGTTAACATGCAGAACAAATGCAGCTTTTAATTTCCAAATTCTTGCACTTGTATTGTAAGTCTCTTAAATAGACTTAGTATTAGGCAGCAACTAGATTTGATTGTGGACCTTTATATGGTTGTAATGGTAAAAAGAAAATCTACTTATGGAGTAAGATTAAGTTTTTCTATATTTTCCTTATTGTTAGAATTATCCCATTTCTAAAAAAAATTCAATAAAGGCTCATTGATTTCCTAGAACAGCTGGTTGCTGTTGACTTTAGCAAAAGTTACTGAAACAGGAATAAATAATGCTTTTGTTGGGGACTATTTTTCTAAGCTGCAGATTAAACTAGTGAGTATTTCAAGCAGCAGGAAGGTGCTTGTTGGAATGAGTTAAAACTACAGTGTGTGTGTGTGTGTGTGTGTTCATCATAATGAAGGAACATGTGGCTCACTGATGTGATTTTAATAGTCGCTGGACAACAAAGGAGCTCGATGGCACAGAGGAAGAAGATCTAATCATGACGTGTGTCCTCTTACCTCCACAGCTCTGGTGTGTCCTGCGGAGTTGGAGCGCACCTGGAACAGTCGCGTCTCTGCAGGAGCGGACTGACCTCCCTCTCTGGACGTTCCTCCCTTGTACACCACCATGGGCTGTCCTCCAAACAGACTCATCAGATGAGCCGGCTCCTTGCCCTGCACCACCCTCACCTGGTGCACAAACGGCAAAGTTAAAATACAAGAATGATAAGATGCTTTTCAAACAGTACGTCATGCGTTTTGACGAACCACATCACATCAGACAGATCGTCCCTTGTTGTGTCTCGTGAAGTACGCGTCAATAATATGTCAGACATGTCTGCTGCAGTCCCAACTACGGACACAAGATGGCAGCATGGGGCTGAGCCACAGTCTGTGCCAGAGATGGTGAGAGTTTGTGGAATCAGGACACAGCGATGACGCAGGTTGTGTCTAACACAGTATTATACACAGTATAGTCTCTCTGGTCTGCAGCTTCTCTCAGAAATATCTATGGCTGCCAGCTCTCCTCCCTAACAAATCAGCGAAATATACTTATCCTGAGAGAATGGAGAAATGATCAAATAATCATAGTTGATTCTTCCAAACTACACACTCTTTGTGCATCCTCTGGTATGATATGAAGCTGTCTCTCAGTCAGCAGGATTTATTGTCAGGCAGTTTTTCTGATCTCTAAATAGCACAAAAGTTGTATTTTAGTTTTGTTATCTTACTTTAAGTTTCCGATAACTTGTTTTGGTTGCTAAAAGTCGGCGACCATTCGCATTCCCCCACAAAGCCACAAAACACATTGTGCCTTTACCACAAAAAAAAACTGTCAAATTCCAAAAGTTAAAGTTCGAGCGAAGGGAAACATCTGCAACATGCAAAGGTGACATCTGCAGATGTTTCCACGCTGGATGTACTCTGTATAAGAACATGCTTCAAAGTTTGACTGAACACACACACAGTCGTGCCACAGCACGCACACACACACACACACACACACACACACACACAACATGAACATGAAGGTTGTGCGTGCAGAGTTAAGACACACATAAGAAGTGAAGTGCGAATGCAGACCACAGAAATGAATGAAGACTCACATGAGTACAGAGCCAGGGCTAAATAGCTCAAAGCTAATCCAATGATCCCCACAGTGCTTCCCACATTCTTAACATGAGCTCTCATTGACAGGTTAAGTCACGATGCTGCACCGAGATCACGTCAGGGCAGAGTTTGGCTGTTATTTATGTGGATTCGACAGAGTTGGCGACAGGGGACGGGGGGGGGGGGTAAACTCCTGCTAACATCCACATCGGAATGTCCTGTTTGTGTTTGACCGAGATGGTTTCACTGTAAATCCGATTGGACTCATGATCACATTAATTAAGTCAGAAAACTG